TCAGGAGTTCCAGACCAGCCTGGCCAACATGGTGAAACCCTGTCTCTACTAAAAATACAAAAAATACAAAAATTAGCCAGGCGTGGTGGTGGGCACCTGTAATCCCAGCTACTCAGGAGGCTGAGGCAGGAGAATCGCTTGAACCCAGGAGGAGGAGGAGCAGTGAGCCGACATCGTGCCATCAAACTCCAGCCTGGGCAACAAGAGTGAAACTCCATCTCAAAAAAAAAAAAAAGAAAGAAAAAAGAAAAAAGAAAGAAAACAAAAGAAAAGAAAAAGAAAAAGAGGTAGGGTCTATTAATAGTCCCATATTACAGATGAGGACATCGAGGTTCAGTGCGACTAGTATCTTGTCTGACATCACATGGCAGGTTAGTGGAAGAGGCAGAATTTGAGTCCACGTCTGTCTCACGGAACAGTACGGCTGTGTGTTCTTGACCGCTCCACGCATCTTCCTAGCTATAACAGTGGACTTCGTGCTCTCTCACACACACACCATGATGCAGGGGACTAAAAAGAGACAGAAGAACACAGGTGTACCAGGCACTTGCACGTATGCCAGCACTTTTTTTTTTTTTTTTTTTTTTTGAGAGGGAGTTTTTTGCTCTTGGTCCCCAGCTGAAGTGACTGCACGATCTCAGCTCCACTGCAAGCCTCTGTTTCCCGGGCCCTCAAGCCCGATTCTCCTGCCCAAGCCTCGCTGAGGTGGGCTGGGGTTAACAGGCCACGGTGCCCCCACGCCTGGCTAATGTTTGTATTTTTAGCAGGACATGCGTTGTCGCCATGTTTGGGCGCAGGCTGGGTTGCTCAAAAAATCTCCGCTGACCTCAGAAGGACTGCCGCGCCTGCCGCTTGGCCTCCCAAAGTCGCTGGGGGATTAACAGGTCGTGTGAACCCACCGCGCGCCAGCCAAACGCTTCTTTTCTATCGTGCTGCCTGATTTCCGCAGTCCTCCCAGACAAACCCTCAGCCGTTTTGTGTGATTCTTCACATTTTCACAGAAAGGGAAAACGGAGCTAGAAACCCTGGGTGACTTCCCCCCGTCCAACACGAGTGTAAGCAGTATCCAACTCTGTGTCGCTGCCC